ATTTATACTGGTGAGTATTTAAATGGATTAAAAGCTGGAAAATGGGAAACTAAGTATAAGAAGTAAAATGAAAAATAATTTAAACCAATGTAAAATTTATCTGCCATATTTCTTTAGTGGTGGTGGATCATATGATAATGGAGTAGCTGAAATACAGGTAGGTATATGGACTGAATTGAGTCCTCATTTTAAAGAGAATTCTTAAATAATTTATACTGGTGAGTATTTAAATGGATTAAAAGCTGGAAAATGGGAAATTAAGTATAAGAATAACGATTGTAAAGACTTTTAAATAGTGTATAATTTATTGTAAAAGCTTTAGTGGTGGTGGATCATATGATAATGGAGGTGATGAAATAAAGATTGATAAATGGATTGAATTGAGTCCTCATTTTAACGAGAATTCTTAAATAATTTATACTGGTGAATATAAAAATGGATTAAAAACTGGAAAATGGGAAACTAAGTATAAGAGCTAAAATGAAAAATAGTTTAGATCAATGTAAAAATTATTTAGATTATTAATTTAGAGGTGGTGGATCATATGATAATGGATTATAGGAGACAAAGATAGGAAAATGGATAGAATTGAGTGCTCATTTTAACGAGAATTCCTAAATTATTTATACTGGTGAATATTAACATGGATTAAAAGATGGATAATGGGAAATTTAATTGTACAACCCAGATGAGAAATAATTTAATTCAATGTAAATATATTTGTAATATTTCTATAGTGGTGGTGGTGTATACTATATTTCTGGAAATAAAAACATTAAGCACGGCAAATGGATTGAATTGAATGATATATTTTTCAATGATTCCTCAATCATCTAATATGAGGAATAAACAAATATTTACAATTTGGTTAAATTGGATGTTTGTTATAGAAATTAAAAAGAAAAACGATTTAGAATTATATAGATATTAAATTCAAATTCATATAGGAATTAAGATGTCTATGATTCTAAAGAATTAAGTTTTAAAAATGGTTTTTGGATTTAATCATAAAATGAGTTTAATTTAATTTCTTAAATTACTTATAAAGGGGAATATTCTGATGGTTCTAAAGTAGGTCAATGGGATATTTATAGTCACAATAACAGAATGTAAAAATATAAATATTTAATCTTAAAGTGGAGGTGGGTCATATGACAAAGAAGGCAAAAATTGTAAGATTGGAACATGGATTGAATTGAGTGAAGGATTTAATTTGGATTCTCAAATCACTTATAGCGGTTAATATTCTGATGGCTCAAAAGTAGGACAATGGAATATTAATGCATAGAATCGAAAAATGTAAAAAATAATAATATTTAATCTTAAAGTGGAAAAGGATCATATGACTAAAAAAGTAATAACTGTAAGATTGGAACATGGATTGAATTGAGTGAAGGATTTAATTTGGATTCTCAAATCACTTATAGGGGGGAATATTCTGCTGGTTATAAAGTAGGTCAATGGGATATTTATAGTTACAATAACAGAATGTAAAAATATAAATATTTAATCTTAAAGTGGAGGTGGGTCATATGACTTAGAAGGCAACAACTGTAAGATTGGAAGATGGTTTCAATTAAGTGAAGGATTTAATTTGGATTCTCAAATCACTTATAGGGGAGAATATTCTGCTGGTTATAAAGTAGGACGATGGGATATTTAAACAAAGGATAAAATAATGTAATAAAATAAATATTTAATCTTAAAGTGGAGGTGGGTCATATGACTTAGAAGGCAACAACTGTAAGATTGGAAGATGGATTGAATTGAGTGAAGGATTTAAATAGGATTCTCAAGTCTTTTATACGGGTGAATATTCTGCTGGTTATAAAGTAGGAAGATGGGATATTTAAACATACAATAACAGAATGTAAAAAATAAATATTTAATCTTAAAGTGGAGGTGGGTCATATGACAAAGAAGCCAACGACTGTAAGATTGGAAGTTGGGTTGAATTGATTAAAGGATTTAGTTTGAAATCTCAATTCACTTATAGTGGCGAATATAAAGATGGGAAAAAAATTAATTAATGGAAAATAGAATTAAATAAAACTCAAATGTTATATCAATATTCTATCCATTTTAGTGGTGGTGGATCATATGATGAAAAATCTGATTAAATTAAAATTGGATCATGGAAGGAGTTAAATGAAATGTCTGAAAATGAATTTCTAATCACGTTAGAAGGACAATATAAAAATGGTAAAAAAATTGGTA